CGCTCCTAAGCTGTGACTTTATTTGTAGACCCAGCTCACACAGGTGCAGCCATAATGGGAGTGACATGCCACACATAGCTCTCTTCTTATTACATGTATTTTCCACACTATAACATACTTTTCGCATTATCACTTTAAATATAGCATCTTAACATTCTACCGAGTACACATATATCTGTATATTTACGTATATTTGTATGCATCTGTATATTGAAATACTAAAAGGATGAAATAAAATAATAAACATCGCTGTTTTTATTCAGGAAAGAATGGCGTAGAGGGAGGGGGTAAGAGTGGGACTTCTCTTTGTATTCTTTTCACACATATTGTCTACATTTCATACATGTTGACATACTACCTGTTTTTTAAACTAAAATCTAATTTAAAAAATGTAAAGATAAGTAAAATACGATTGTACACTCTAAATAATAGATTTAAATGAGAAGTCAGTCCAACCTCCAGTGCATGGAGGGATCGTGTTATGAACAGGGCTTAATTATCTGTTCTTGTAGCATATTAGAAAAAGGACGTGGAAGACTGAACCAAAGTCAGGAGCCAGAGACCCGACCAGTGAATTTCAGAGAAACTGCTCACATCCCAGCAGCCCCTGAAAAAACCATCAGTGAATCACAGCACAGTGCAAAGGCTGATCAGGTTCAGCAAACACCTCCTGGGTCCCTGCTGCGTGCTGTGTTGTGAGAACACCTAAGATGATTTTCAAAAACGAAAAACAGAAGTTCCCATCCTCAAGAAATTTGAGGCAAGACCACTTCATAAGATTTAAGTTTTGGGAAATAAACAAGGTGCCACCAGAATACAGACGTACAGAGAAGAGAAATCTTTGCGGGGGCAGAAAGGGAAGAGGGAAAATGAATAATTTTAGGGGGTTCGGGTTACCAATAAATGAGCACGTTTTTGAGGATTTTGTTTTTGAATATGTCTGCTTCAGAACAGAAATTAAAGCTCTAACGATGTGAAAGGCTATTCTCCAACAATAATAAATAAATGAGGTCTGAGTAAAAGTAAGATTTTTATACTAATGTAGGATATAAGTTTAAATATTCTTTTTAAGTATGTAAACAGATTTTGTTTACCCAGACTTACAGTACTCTTAATGTGTACGTGTTAATAAAGACAGACCTACTAAACTGCCTGTTTCAAATATACATAAGACTACCTTTCAGAGAAATTTGAAAGAATGGTTCTATTATACACTCTAAGTTACTCAAACAAATGATTTTCTCCAATTTTTCTATAATTCAAACTTTTTTTTTTTTGGACAAAATACAGTAACAAACCTTATGAGTTAAAGTATAGGAGATTACCCTCATCGTGAAAAGCACACAGAGCAAAGAAAACAGACCTGCTCAGCCCTTGGGAAGACGTAGTCCAGGCTACAGTATTTAATCTGGTCAAGCATCTGGTATATTACCTAGTATGTCCCCAAAAAGGCAACACATAAAAGACAGCTGTAAACTGTACTGAAGTGTAAAGCCTTTTCCAAAGAGCATTAACAATGTGGAGACACAAAACAAATGGGCAGCAGAGGTAAAACAAAAAGAATTCTACCAGGAATTACAGTGTTACAATTATAAAACCTATTACCAACACAGCCAGTGACGAGTTACGACCATCAGCACCTCCTTCCGAATGTCATTCCGCCTTCACGGCACCACTGTCACTCCTCCAAGGTTCATGCAAGTGGGCCTCCCTTAGAAGCCCCCAGACTGCTCTGCGTCTGGCCGATAAGCCCATCAGGGCCCCTCAGAACCATCAGCATGGCGCTGACCCGGGCACCTGGAGAGACAGCCTCCCACCTGGTCCTCAGGCCACAGATACCAGAGTCCCAGTTCTCTCCGTGTAAGGTTTTCACCAGAGTCCCAATCCTCTCCGTATAAGGTTTTCATATTGTTTAAGGGGAAAAAAATTTCAATACATGAAGCCCTTATAAAAACTAGTGACAGCTATGACCACGGGCACAGCACTGACGTCCACTGCCACATGATGCCTCTGACAACCCCACCGGGAGAACAGCGTCACTCGCATCCGACAGATGTAGAGCAGAAGCCTGTACTCAGAACATCACCGCCCAGGTTGCGGACGAGAAGAATCCTGCTCTCTCTGATTACCAAACTCAAGTTTGAACTAATCCTCTTAGACACAGTACATTATACCAAAAGCTAAAATACAACTCATTTATACCGAATGTTCCTAAATACCATAGAATCCTGCCTTACTTTAAGGTGAAGCTACAGAGTTTGAAGCTTGAAAAGCTGAGCACCTTTAACAATGAAACTGACCAACATCAGCCACAACTAAGACAGCTCTAAAAACATTCTGTCTAGAAACACTCCCCCCATGTCCCCTGCACTGCTCTGGGTAGACTCGAAATGCTCAAAACATACTTGTGGGATGAATAAAACACTGTATGCTGTTCCCTCAAGTGTCTGATTATCTCAAGTGGATTATCCCATTTATATTTTTACTGAAAAAAAAATTTTTTATGCCTCAGTCAACTTCTATCTTCATTTACTTATTAGTAAATTACAATGATACTGCATATTATCAGCATTTTTACCTTTATTAGCTACATTTTTTACTAACTGAAACAGATTCATTCAATCTCATGACTTAGAAATACTGACTATTTCACAGAACTAGAACAAGTCATAATAAAATTTATATGGAACCATCAAAGACCTAGAATTGCCAAAGCATTACTGAAGAGAAATAAAGAGACTAGAGGAATAACTCTCCCAGACTTCAGACAATACTACAGAGCTACAGTCATCAAGACTGCATGGTATTGGTACAAAAACAGACATATGGACCAATGGAACAGAATAGAGTGCCCAGAAATGAACCCACAAACTTTTGGTCAACTAATGTTCGAAAAAAGAGGGAAGAATATACAATGGAATAAAGACAGTCTCTTCAGCAAATGGTGTTGGGAAAACTGGACAGCAGCCTGTAAAGCAATGAAGCTAGAACACTCCCTTACATCATACACAAAAATCAACTCAAAATGGATCAAAGACTTAAACGTAAGACAAGATACAATAAACCTTCTAGAGGAAAATATAGGCAAAACATTATCTGACATGCATCTCAAAAATGTTC